TCTTTCTCCTCGTATCGAAGGGCCATACGAATGTTGCGGATCCAATCATTGAAATTGGACCCATCGAAGGTGACCCTCCCACAAATGTTCATAAGAGAAAAGGAGCTTGAGGAGTTGGAGTTCGAGTCGGAAACATTGTTTGAGCCAGACATCTGAAAAAGAAAAGGAACAAAGTTTGGATTAGATAAGAAATCCTTAATATAACACCCAAATGAAATATTAAGGCTAGGATCCAACACTATAATTCACAATTCGGAAGAGGGATGTCGTAATCCAATTACAAATTATATGAAGGTAGGTACATGACGATTTACCAATTCCACCATGAAAAACGAAATAAAGAATTAGGTTTTAAATGAAATGAAATTCCTAGATTCTTTTGAGATTCATTGAACTTTTCAATGGCATGTTTAATCTCGATTATTCCCTTCAAGTTTGTGACTGGGATACCGAGGATCACAAAAAAAGTGTGAATAACCATGCAAATTAGTTTGGTACTCTCGAGTCATTTACCACCTAATCAATGTGTCGGTTAACCACATACGCTCCATTGATCTATGATAATTATCGAGCTACCCTACGCCACCCTTGTTAATCCAAGTTAGTGTGTCGGTTAACCACACACGCCCCAGTAACGACTTGGCAAGGTGCAAAGTGCAATTTCATGGAATAGCATCATTTTCACATTTTTCCTAAAGTAACTAAGATTGGGAATTTTTAAACCATTTGGTTACTTTATAATATTCATTATACTTATTGATGAGGAATTAATGTCCTATCCTACCCGTTCGGCTAACGACCCTCCACTAGTCAAGAGTGCACTGGGTAAGAGTGGATACCCAATGGCGGTCATTTTACAGGTCGCTTCCTTAAACACCCCTTATAGACCAGCTTCGTGAATGAGACCTACTAACGGTAAGACTGACTCATCTTATACATATATATAAGTATTAAGCTTTTAATATTATAATAGTATAAGGGTTGTATTTTAAACTTTTAAAACACTAGGGTTTTAGAATTTAATATTTCAAAATAAAACTTTTAATTAAATTTTAAATTTCAAAACTTGAGGACAAGTTTGGAAACTATTCAAAACTTTCTAGATCAAATTTTAAAACAATTAAATTAATCATATAATTTATCCTTATTATAAATTTGACCTTATCTATTTTACTTCTTAAGAAAATTCAAATAAAATTTTACAAATAATTAATTTATCACAAAATCTCATAATTATCTTAAAATTTGACAATTATCTTTCAATTAGATGAGGATATATATTACCATATTAGAAAATTTTGAATTTCATCATTAAAAACAACTTATGGTAATTATCCAAATCTAATTTAGGCCAAAAATCCGAAAAATCTGCCATCTGACGAACCAACTCGTCGAGTCAGGGCATGGACTCGTCGAGTTGGTCCAACTCGTCGAGTTCCTTCATAGGACTTGTTGAGTCCACCAGTCAGAGACCACTTCTAGAAGGCCCCCTTGGACAAATTCTAAGCAATCTATGGAACCCTTCTAGAAGGCCCCCTTGGACAAATTCTCTTATGGGCTTTCCATATAATTCGTCCACCCCTTCTATTAGGAGTCCACAACCCAACTTGCAACTAATAGTAAATTGCAATATCAGTCCCCATACATTTAATAGTCTCTTTTGATCACCAAATTAATTCCAAATAAATTTTCTAATCAATACTAATTAAATAACATGATTTCTCAATTAATATATTATTCTTATAATATATTAATAAATCATCTATCAACCTCTTTCTCATAATTTATCTTGTCAAGTTGCTATGGTGAAGGCAACCCAAAAGGACAATGCTACTATCGGGTCAAGTACATCCCAATTATAGTTATGGGCTTAGACACCTAATCCAATAACTTTTACCCCAATAAGAGTTAGCTATGAACAAGGACCCTTGAATATAGATTATTACCTTAATCTATGATTAGGATTTTATTGTGTATATGATTAGTGTGAGGAGTTCTAGTATCAGCAGCTCAAGTGTGAGATTTTTCTGTTTGTGAATTGAGATGAGTATATTGTGTATGATTCTAGTTGTTTGTGTGTTACTTTCATGGAAGACCTCAGGGATAGACTGTGAAATTTGTATGAGAGACCATGGGGGTAGCCCATGGCAATGCAAGGAAAGACCATAGGGATGGCCCACGACACTTGTACGTAAGACCATGGGGATAGCATGTGGCAGTGTAAGGAAAGACCATGGGGTAGCCTATGGCCCTTGTATGCAAGACCATAGGGGTAGCCCATGGCAAATTATGTATAGTATGTGTTATTTTTGGGAACTCACTAAGCTTTGTGCTCACGGTTTGTGATTTGGATATTTTCAGGTACTTCCAGTTCCAAAGGGAAGGGCACAGCTTGACTATTCATCATTTACCCCTAATGATTTCCATATTTATGATTTTTATTTTACTTTGGTGATTATGATACGTATTTCCTTTTATGGATTTTTGGGACAAATACTATGTGATTTGAAGAATTAAAAATGAAAAATTGTATTCATGTTTTTGGGATGTTACACAAAAAGAAGAGAGATAGACGTCCAACCAAAAAGTCGGGTCAAACAAGGATCAAGGAACAACTTGAGATTATAAGATAGTTTGTTATGTAATCCTTGTATAAAAAGAGTAGATGATCTTTGTACATACACGAACACGCTCTCACCTCTACTTAGTACTTACTATCTGGAAAACTCTTGAGCACAAAATCACTACACATTTGATCAGCTAGCACTTGTAATATTAATTTAAACTCTAAGGCAGGTGACATTGTCACCTCAAGAGGTTTTATGCCATATATCCTAAAATATTAAGGGCTTTTCTCGTACGTCATTGTGTCTTTTTACTTATTTTTATTATCACATAATTGTTTGATTCATTTCAGTACTTATACATATTTTGGTGCGTTGATATCGATCTTACAATTTTACCCAATCTTCTACTATAATAAATGAAGGTTTTTTTTTCATTTTGTCACACTCTCATTCAATTTGTCAAATGTCATTTTGTGGTTATTTTGAATTAATTTTTATTCCACATGTTGTTTTATGGTTTTTCTTTTTTATTAATTTCACATAGTATTTAAATGCAATAATAAATGTATATTAATTTCCTTAATGAACTTTCCTTTTAATTTCAAAATTACTAAATTAAAGTATCATTAATTTCCTTTATTTATTTATCTAAATTATTTATTTAAATTTAGAGAAAAAACACTTTAATTTTTATAACTCAATATTTTTCTCATTTTTCTTATAAATTCAAACTTCTCAAATGTTTAGAATTTTATATTTAGTTTTTTCTTTTAAATAAACACATGTAATACATGAGTCTCATACCTAGTTATATATTATGTTAAACTCATTTGCATAAATACACATTTTGGGTTCACGACATTTATCTTGAAACATACTACAAAACATTACACTTTTGAACATCTTAAAACACTTTTGATCATTTCCTATTATAAATTTAATTTAACGCCATAATTTTCCTGAACATTACTATCACAAATCTTGAGTTTCAAAATACTATTTTACTCAGAATCCTTACAATAAACATTTATAATTTTACACAAATCTCAAGATCTTAAGCACATTCAATATATTCGACATACTTCAAGATATTTAGTTATTCACAATATATTTTCTTAAAACATCACACCACGCTTATTAATGATTACAAAGTTATCTAACCAATTTTTGACAAAAAAAACAGTTGTCATATGTAATTAGAGGGTAGAGGATATTGGGATGAGATTTTCAGCTATTTACAATATATTTTCTTAAAACATCACACCACAATTATTAATGATTACAAAGTTATCTAACTAATTTTTGACAAAACCAATTGTCATATGTAATTAAAGGGTAGAGGATATTGGGATGAGATGATTTAAGTATGTATTTATCTTATTGTATATTTAAAATAATTATATTTTTTTTATAGAACTGCAAAATTAGTCATTGTCTTGTTGTTTTGCAAAAAATTGTGGATAGAATTTAAAAAGTTCTGACTTGCATGGAATGTCCAAAATGAATACTTTTCCATGGTTTTGATCCCAAAAATTCTCGTGGTTTTCATCCCTGGAAAACTTGAATTGACGATTTTTCCTGATCTCGTACCGGTATTGTACCGAACCGTACCGAATTTGAAAATATGGGACGGTACTTGGTACTCCAAATACATGAAATTCGGGATTCGGTACCACCGGTACCGGTACTAGTACCAAAAACCGGTATCATTCCCGGTACTGGTACCAATGATGTTAATTCGGTTCGGTACTAGGGATTGACTTTCAATAAAATTCAGTTTTCGGAAATCGGGAACCATACGGGTTGGTACCGGTTCTGTCTCACGCTCATCCCTAACCCTCTCTCTCTCTCTCTCTCTCTCTCTCTCTCTCTCTCTACCGCTGGTCGGAATGGTTTGTGGGTTCCGAACGGCTTAGTAATAAAAAAAATAACAAATAGAAAAGAATAATGGCTCTCTCTCTCTCTCTCTCTCTCTCTCTCTCTCTCTCTCTCTCTCTCTCTCTCTCTCTCTCTCTCTCTCTCTCTCTCTCTCTCTCTCTCTCTCTCTCATGGTTTTGTTTCGTTTTCATTTTTTTTTCTATTAAACCCATACTTGTAATCGTGATTTTAAGAAGGAAGGTTGGTATTTATACACATGAGAATAGAGACTGATACATAGAAAAAATCCCATCCACTAATGTAGATAAATGACACTAGCTAGAGGATAACTTCACTACAAATATAGATTGAAACAACAATAGATATAATGTTTGCGCAAAGGGTTCCAATGACTATGAAGGCCCACGCACGATGACCATTGACCAGCACAGTCTCAAATATTAAGAAACATAGGAAAGCAAATAAACAATGCATAATCTTCTACATACTTAAGGAATAGAAACTATGACAACTCTTTATGAACTTGCCCGGTTGCTTGCAGAACCGAAATGGTTGTCAAGGAAACGGATTCTTTAAGTAAGCACACCACTTGTCAATAAACGCCAACTCGTCTGGATCCAATCTTGGAAGTTCACGATCTTGAAGGGTGTTGATTATCTGTGTAGTCTCGCCGAGAAGTTGGGCTGCAGCTTGCACATTAGCCTCCCTTTTCTCTATGGCACTTTCAATACATTTCATTCGAATGACTTGAGGTAAGTTGGTGAGACAAGCAGCTATTATATCAGCAATCATTGATGATACATGTGCAAATAGTTCCTCTTGGCTAACCCGCTCAATGTTCTCGTGGTAGTTGAGCAATATTGTTTCAGTGATACGATACATTGAATTGGCACAAATAGACTTGTATTTGGAATTATCATTTCGATCTCTGATATCCTTTCTTTCCACCTTGATGACCTTGTTCTTAGCCTTATCCCTTAACCACTGAAGAATATGCCCCGGTGTATTCACTTTAGACTTAGGGTTTGGCAGCTTAGTTCCTAACCATTTGTGGTACACTTCAACTTCTACCCACAAAGTGTCAGCTGCCTTTTGAATGCTTACATGATCATGATCAGTAGCATTGAGGCTTTCTTCCACAAGCGTGACATATAAAAGACCCTCACTCACACCATTTAACAAGCAATCGACCATGTTCTTTTGGATGTCAGGTAGAGACATGGCGATGGATGTTAGTGTTACCAAAGGCAAAGACCAACAATTGAGATATTCTTCTGAAAGTAAAGAAGGAACATGATTGCTGTCGAACTTTGCAAGTACTTCAAAACCTCGAGATTCAGATAGAAGCTTCATAAGATTCTTTGGTTGTTGTTTTTCTGCCTTTTGGATCAAGCGATTCACAGATTTTAACAAGCGTTTCAATGTTCTCTCAGTAAACTGTACGTCTTCTTGAAGTTGCAACACATACCCCCTGAGATCTTTATCTTTTCCTGGTTGCTCCTTGGCTTGTTGTGACTGTCCCACTACAAGACGAGATGTGGTAAACATGGCCTTTAACCACCTCCAACAAAGGCGACAACACATGACACATATCAAAAAGAGAATTGTAATCATGGTTATCATCTTGCATGCTACAACGACTGACTTCTGAAATCCTATACAAATACTGAGACTTTGGATTTTCAAATGCTGGATGACAATCTTGCATTTGCGGCTACTGGATGGGAATGGTATTCTACTATGTTTCCAATCATATAACTTCTGCGTCCAGTATCTCTCTACTTTAGAGACCTTCACATGCTTCCAAATCCATTTTATTGACAAATCAAAGCTTAAGGTTGCAAAACATCTGGCAAGCGGGGCAATTGTACCCAGTATCACTCCGATAGATTGTATCATTAAAATCACTAATATTGAATACTTATAATCCGACCTCTTATAGTCCTTTCGACGAAGTAGATATTGAAAATTAATAGCAATAAGGAAAATAAAGAAGCCAGAGCTTGCAGCACATATTACCCCTGAAGCAGATGTTGAAATAGAGCAAGCTGTCATAAATTGAGGGCTTCTGGGTTCTGCCATGATCCAGTAGTTGCTCACATACTGCTTTAGCTTCTCATTAGTTAATCTTCCAGCTTTCAGATCTTGATCCTTTAAAGCTGTTTGATTAGCTGTTTGGTATTTGGATTCTAGAATCTGTTTGGACTTTAGAATTGCTAAAGATGAACATGCATATATTATCAGCAACATGAGTATCGGAACCACAAAGCCGCCTATGCTAATAACTCTAGTCAGGAATGATATTTTATATGGGTAGAATGCGGCATCAGGAATGAAAAATAGAATTCCCGTGGATATCTGAATGCAGAAATTGAAAACCAAGGAGATTACCAGAAGAGCTAAAGCTATGACGTTTGAGACAAGTTCCTTGTCGTCCTTGGTTGCTAGAGAAGGCAATAGATTAGCCATGATGGTGCACATAAAGCTCATGGTTCCAAGCTTTGCAGCCTGGTCTACAAGACCTGGCATTAGATTATTTGGATCCATGGGCAGCTTTATTGCAACACCTATCACAGTAAGAGATGCAGCATTCAGAGTGAAATATTTACATGGAAACCATAGCTTTCTGTTCCACAAACCATGTAATAAATCAGCCACCATTGCAAGGACACAAAGCAGAGATGCTAATGCTATATTCATCCCAATCCACGGCATAGGTTTGCTGTACTTGTTTTGCTGACGTGACTGGTATACTAGACTCCATAGGGAATATAGGTATTCTGTTGTAATATTTGGGCAAGACGCCTCAAGTACCTGGAATTCATGATAATGTGGTATGTTCTTGGGATCCATAATTATACTCCTTCAAGAGAACGGAACTCGGGAACTGGTCCGGGTTTTCTCAATGGCACTTGTGTTGTATGTTTCGTCCAATAATGCTATTAGTGACTTTAAAAAAACACAGAAAATTTCATCGTAGTAAACAATGAAAGTTAAAGATAAACATGATGGAACACTTGAGAAAGATATAGAACAAACTAGTAACGACTTTCCTTAAAGCATGCCGGCCACATATCCCTTCAAATTTCAGTGAACTTTAAGAGAACTGAAGTGGAGGATAACTTACAAAGACTTTGACAACAAAATTTACAATCCTACATGCAATAATATTTCTATTTTTTGACCCACTGGTATGATCCATTTTCTTGTATTGCGACTCAACCTTGATATGAGTGTATGCATCTTCTTTGTGGGTTATGAAAACATTTGACAAAAGTTTAATTAATATATTTTAGATAATTCCTCTAGCTACGCATATAATTAAGGAGAAGGTTTATTATGGTGGGCATATTCAAAGTCATATATGTCTATTGTGTGTAATTGGTAATTCAAGAAAGATATATCCATCCACTTTTAAAACATATTCAAATGAAAACATAAAAATCTAGTTAAAAAGGGAAAATTCTAACAAATGTGTTTTGCACTCAAGCATTTGTCATCAATACTTTTCCTTTTACCAGTCACAACGCCCAAAGACATTGTAAAGGAGGGGTGCTACACCAATTCTTCCATGGAAGCTTTCTGTCGAATTTTAGCCTTCTATTTAACCATGCATGGGAACGCCTAATGTTTCACCTGGCCAATATTCAAGATAAAACACCTCCATGTTGCTGTGAAATACCAAGTTTTTCCAAACAACCAAAAAGAAAGTGTTGAACACTATGTCCATCTACTCATGCAACTCATGTATATCTATATTTATTTCTATATATACAATAAAAAAATATTTTTTTCGCTAACCACATTCATCCTCTAAACTTTCAACTTGTTTTAAAATTAATACAATAAACTGTTTTTATTCTAATTTCATAATTAACACTTTAGTATCTATAAATATTATAACAATAATAATAACTAATAAGTACTTTAAAAAAAATAATGGTTGAAATTAAATATGGTTATACAACTAATTTTTTGAAATTATTCGTTACAATAGTAAAAAAAAATAATATTAAATCTAGAATTATATTTAATTTTATTAATAAATAACGTTAAATATGTAGTTTTATTAATAAATAATGTTATATATATATATATATATATATATATATATATATATATATATATATTATATATAAGGTTAGGTTCACGTGAAACTATTATATTTTATGAGACATGAGAACGCAATCATAACCATTCATTTCGGAGATAAAAAAATATTTTTAAAATGCAAAATAAATGAAAATTTTTGAAAATATTATTTTCGTAATTTTTTTATCCCAAAAAAATTTTTAAAAAAATTGCGCTTTTTTCAAAAGTACATGAAATATTCTAATAAAATATTATACAGTAAATATTCAAATCGAATTTTTAGAATGTTATAATATTCTACTAAAATATTAAACTATAAATATTAAAAAAATTCTAATAAAATATTAAAATATTCTAACAAATCTAAAAATTCAAGTAGAATATTAGAATATTTTAACATATCCATCAATTTTAGTAGAATATTAGAATATTCTACATTCTAAAAATTCGATTAGATTACTTACAGTGTAATATTCTATTAGAATATTCACTCATATTTCGAAAAAACGGTGATTTTTTTTTTGATAAATTAAATAATGAAAATAATATTTCAAAAAAGAATTTCTGGATTTTTTCTATTATTTTTCATTTTATAATTCTTTTTTTTTATCTCCAAGATGAGTGGCTAAGATCGCGTCCCCATATCTCACAAAATTAGCATGGTCTCAAATGAACCTCTACCTATATATATATATATATATATATATATATATATATATATATATATATATATATATATATAATATATATATATATATATATATATATATATATATATATTAACGATCATTATAGAACCACCATTAAATTGTAGAATCATAGAACCATACACTACTAGAAGTTGAGGTATCAGCGACGGAATAGTGATGGAAATTGTCAATCGAAAAAACTCTTGTCACTAATAGCCAACAATGGATTAGCGACAAATTTAGCGAGGGATTAGCGACGGATTAGCGATGACATTTATCACTCAGGGAACCTCAAAATATTGTCGTTAATATGTCGCTAATGTCCATCGCTAATCAGTTATTTACATTATTGTAATGCTCGTAGATTCGGGCTAGACATTTAGGATATAGTAGATAATCTTAGCTAAAGATGTAATAGTTGTAATGACTACCTTGATGACATAAGGAGCGCTTAAATCCAATTTCGTATGAAGAAGTTATGCTTTTTCAAAGTTTCGAGATTAAACCAATATAGATATGCACGTCATAAAAAGTGAATCAAAGATGGGTTGCTTATTAGCCTAAATGATCTAAACGAAAGTCGTAGTAATCGTAAAAATGAACTTGTGCATATAAAGAACGTCCAAATCTGACTTCATATGAGTAAATTATGGTTTTTCAAAGTTTCAGCATAGTAGTGTGCGACATAGAAACTAAACTTAAGATCGGTTGATTGTTAAACAAAACAATCTAAACGAGAGTCGAAGATCTCATCGATATAAAGACAGTCGAGAACGGATGTTGTATGGAAGAGTTGTGATTTTTATACGGACATTAACAGTCTAAGCCTATTAAAAATATAATTTTATAAATAAAGTGACAATTAGACAATGGAGTCTGAATGAAAGTTGTAGATATCATCGATAGCTACGCGTGGATATAAAGAATGTCAACAATGGAGCTTGTTTGAGAAAGATACAAAATTTTGAAAAACTGAAAATTTGCATGCGCGCATGCGCTTCTAGAAACAGCAACTCGGACCACCCAAAATTTGATACGTGGCAGAAGGGCAGAGGATCGACGTCCATTCTTCCTTGCACCCTTCTCAATTTTCTCTCAACTTCTTAGGCCCGATTTTGAGGTCTTCCTTCGAGGTTTCAGGGTATCTTAGTTTAACGAAGCTCTAGGTATCTAGGCCCAACAAGTAGAAGCTCTCGAGTAGGAGTTCTGCCAGTGCAATTTCCGACTTTTAGCCATAAAATCTTTGTAAGTTAAGTTGCACTTATTTTTAATTCAAGTGTAACTTATATTTATATTTATAGTCTTTATTATGAATCAATAAATAAGATTTATCAGTAATTCTATGTCATAATACTGATTGATTTGCTTACGAGGGGTGATGTTTAGGCTAGATTTAGTGTGGTGCTTAAAGTGGGATTTCAAAATAGTATACACTATATACCAAACAGACGATACCCTACCTCCAATATGATTTTACCAGGTTGCTCCTTAATTGATAGATCTTGGTGCAGATATTTGGATTGTTGAGGAATCTAGACTATCATTAGTCACCAAGAGTATAAGACTAAGACTTAGTGATGTGTATACCTAGGTCACATCAAAGGAAAGTCTAAGTGCTAAGGTGAAACGTTGCCAAAATTTCCGAGTCGTCAATTTTAGCAAGTGAGTGCATAGTTACTTTCATCTTACGCATATGAAGTATTTAGATAACTAAATGATATATGTGCTTATTATCTGTGATAAAAATGTTCTATGTTAGATGAAATAATATAAGACGATTTATATATGATTTACCATACATGTATTTTCATACGTATAGTATATTGGGTAGTGAAGGGTTATAGAAAGTAAAATATGATGAGACGTTATAACCAACGTGGTATTATTGTACTACTAGGGATTATTCATCTAATAGGGTAGAGGATGGGCCACAAACTATTCTAGACAAGTTTGGTTAAACATGGAAAGGCTTGCAATTTGTAGATGTTTATAAATCATACATGAGTACAACCTGTAGGTGTTAATCAATCATACATGGACACGTTTACAACATGAAGATGTTAATAAATTGTTTGCGGACAGGTCTACGACCCATATGCATTGATGAATCATACGCGGATAGGTCTACGACCTGTATGTGTTTCTGAACTGTACATGGGCAGGTCCTCGACTTGTAGATGTTAAGAAACCTCATACGTACAGGACTACGAACTGTATGTATGGATGAATTATTCATATGGGTACTTTGTTTACCCCCATGGTTGTCTTATTAGATCCCTGAAGATTATTGGTTTAGGATCAGGGAGTGAGAATAACGAGAATGGGTAATCGGGTTATTTGATTGATGTGAACTATATAATTAAAGCAAATTAACTATATTATTGTGGGTTGGAAATCCTATGTACTCACCAGGCTCCTAAGCCTGGCACACTCGGTTTCTTTGTATCACAGGTAGCAATATGAATGTACTTGATGTTTGGATATGATGAGATATTCAAGGAAATGTAGGTCATTAGATGTTGTACGACATGTAATGACTATGTTTATGCTTATGTTTCTTGTATCAGTTATGACATTCCAAGTTTCTAATAATCAATGAAAAATATTTTTTTCGGAAATACTTTTGCCGGATAGATTCCGTAGTTATAAATAAATTCTTTTTTAAAATAAGCATAAATAAAAATATATTTTCTGACTGTGAAAATGGGGATGTCACAATGATATTTTCTTAAAACATCACCCCACACTTATTAATTTGATTACAAAGTTACCTAACCAATTTTTGACAAAAACAATTGTCATGTATTTAGTAGGCAGAGGCTATTGGGATGTGATATTTTGTTTTATTTACTTCTTTTTTATAGTTTATTTTAACATTGTTTAGCCTTTTTATTCTTTTTGCATTGCATATTCTATCCCTTCTTACCCACATATTCACTATCACTTTCACTTTCTCTCTAAACATTTTTTAGCACAATAACACTTACTACACGGTCAACTAGCCCATGTTACATCATTTCTACTTAATTTAAGTTCTAAGACAATGTGACATTTTCACATCCCGAGGTTTTA